TTTCTATTTGATGGACTATTATGTAGACAAGTTGATGGAGTGGCAATAGGTAGTCCACTCGGGCCTAGCTTCGCAGACATCTTTATGGGCCACTTAGAAGAAAAGGTCTCACCATAGCTTAATAAGACAATAATATACAGACGGCACGTGGATAATATATTCAATATTGTTGATACCAAACCAGACGCAGAAAATCCTCTTAATTTTATGAATACATTGCATCCGAAGATTAATTTAACGATAGAAGTCAATTAAAACCGCCGGTTTCACTGAAAATCAAAAGGCCTGGCACGATACCTACATACCCAGACACAGGTAACAGTTTGATTTCGGGCTCACTACCGAAAGCGAATGCCGCTGCATTTTGTAATGCAGAACAGGTCATACTGCGGGTTGTACAGGTGAGGCATTCCAGGGGAAAGCAAAAGTAACGAAAAAGTAGAACGTAGAAAAATAGAAAACAATTATTTGGATAACCTAATGTCTGGCAAAGAAGGTCGAAAAGCATCAGCATATCGCTTATAAACCTAAAGCTAAAATAAACTAAAAACTACTCTTAACTAAACTAAAACTAAGATGTTACTAAACAAATACGTTGCTGCCGGAACTAGCAGAACACTGCCGGAACACTAGCAGAACTAGTAACAGTGAAGTACTATCTGCTATCCTGTTCTGCCTTATTTTCTTAGCGCGTAACTGGGAAAAATAACCAGTGTTGACACAGGAACACAGAAGGTTATATCAGTGGCGATACAGGTAAGATCAACCGAGGTTATAACAAGTGGCGACGCTGGTGATCATTGTAGACACAAGGTTAGTACAGAGTGCATCGTACCTTTGTGTTGAGAAATACCCGATGCCGAAGTAGTAAAACAAAACATGCATACTACTACTACTACCAAAAAACGAGGCAGTCATGTGAAATAAACATAACGAGGCAGTCACCCCAAACACCTATTTGCGGCTATTATATCTTCAAAATTTTAGCTTTTTACGGTTGTCCGCTCAATTTGAACGCTTGCTAAAGCCATGTAAAACTCGTGCGAAAACAAAAAAAGCATTTCGATCAAGTTCTGTCGCGCTATGGGGCTACTCGATTACTCTGAGGTAGATTGCTTCGGAAAAATTTTGGGCTGTCGGTTTCTAGGAGTACAGGGCGCTGTCTTTGCAGACGAGTTCGTGGTGCTGCGATATGGTTTGTGTATAAATTGGACAAAAAAGCTGCTTACTGGTGCACGTCATCTTCACAGATAATCGCAAGCGTGAGAAGGATGTCGCATTGGATTTCAGTAGTGATTGGAGATGCACAAATTCTGAGCTGGCTGGCTTCCTCGGGGAGATTGAGTTCATCCACGGGTGGCTGTCCCGAATCACGATCCACCATACTGCAGGCGAGTATCTCCACGAGACTCTCAATTACGCCCTGGTCAACCAATCCCTTTAACATGGAAAAGGTAGAGGGATAGAAAACATTGACGGTTTGGTCACCTAATACCGGAAGTGAGCGTGAAAAAGTCAACCTAATTTGTCATTTACGGGGCTCGCTCGTTTGTAGTTGTCTTAT